CCACAACACCTCACACTTAGTGTCATTAAACTCCATCCTCCAAGTTGCCTCCCATTTCTGTAGCGCATCAAGGTCATCCTGAGCTGTTCGCAGTGATCTTCACTTGTGATAGTCAGATACGATGTTACAATATTATGTGATCAGCAAAAAAAATAATGCAGTCTCAGACAACCTAATTTCACCTCCGGCGGTCCGGCCTCGTTTGGTCAGTCTGCGCGTTGGATGACACCTCCCCGTTAAAAAAACCTGGCAACGCGCCTGTTGTTCACTTGGAAATTTTAAATCAGAATGAGGACCTGATTTGTCAACGTAAAGACACTGAGAGACGGGGAAAGGCAATGATATAAGAGCTTAACATAAGAGTGAAAAAAACTTGGGTTTCAAGACAAAAAAAAATTAAGCTTATATCACGCGCACTTGTGACAGAATGGCGCGTGTATAAAAGCTTACAATATTATGTAGCTCAGCAGTGCACTCTAAGATTCGGAGCAATCTCGAATTTAGAGTGGTGGCTGGTGGTGGGCACAAAACTACATCGATTTCGATTGTTACCTTGGTTTTCTTCTTCCATATTGGAGGTTCCGATTTGACAGGAGAAATTACCTAAGAAACTCGATAAAGTACGACAGACAAGCCGAGTAAAACAACCAAGTGTCAGCGGTTTGTGTTGTGGGCTCGCGTTACCCACGCGGGTAGATACTTCATGTATGGGGACATATATTGTACCGACTTTACCTATTTCACTTTGTTTCAGGCCCGGGGGGGGTACTTTAGGAATTTCTGGGTGGGGATGTGCCGCTGGGACCCTGGGACCCTTAACCTATACCAGAGCTAGTTCAGCTGAATTTTGCTACCCTATACTAGAGTAAACTCCCCAAATCCCCTATCCTAGAGTAGCTGTTTCCCTTGTCTAGATAAAATCTTCAACCAACTGATCGGTTTCCTGAAAAATGATACCCTGTTCTAGACCCAAACGCTCTGATTTATATACCCTATCCTAGAGTAAACTGCCTGAAAACCATACCCTTCACAGCGGCACATACCTATATAGCCCATATATGGCAGTACCCCCCCCCCCCCGGGGTTTCAGGCGTTCGGATAGGGGAGAAAGAGAGCGAGAAAAAAAATATATGCAGTAAAAGAGCCCGTCCCCCACGTTTTTTTCTGCTCACATCTCTTTGCGCTGTCCCCTCGATCTGAACACCTGGAACAGGCTATTTCTCCCTCGAGGAAGGAAGAGAGGGAACCGTGGGAACGAGATTGAACAATACCTCACTTAACTGTGATGCATGAAAATATTGAAGACCAACGAACGTAAGACCTTTTAAGTTTGTATTTTTTGTTTTCCCAATACAGACCACGTGAAGTTCTCCAGTAAATTTCATCACTGTGCAAACCTATGCACGTGCCTAGGGGACGAAATTTGAAAGAAACAGTTCGCTGTGGTACCATCACGTGGTCTGAAATGGGAAAACAAGACATACAAGTTAAAAGTTCCACAAAGAGAGATTCGGGAGATCCTTAGGTCTAAAGGGGATCTGGCTGGAGGGGCTGGATTTCTGGGATGGGCACCAAAGCTGTCGTCCTGAACGATGGATAAGGGGTCCGCTGTAAGTGTAGGATTACACTTCAGCTTGTAAAATATATGGAAAAGAACCTCGATATTATAACGAAACCTCGTTATAACTAACAGATTTTGCCAGTTCCTTGGCACTTCGTTATATCGAGGTTCCACTGTATCCACAGAACCCGATTATCTGCCCCACATACATGGACAGAAATTCAACACGAAAACACGATCCTGATTCAATTCAAATTTTTTTATTTTTATTTTCTTAGGAATTTTTTTTGCCATTGGCGTAATAGTGTGATTTAGGATTTTACATGACCCGTGAAACAGATACTAACAACTAGAGCAAAATAGCTTCAAGTAAAAAAGAAGACAATGAGATTATTGTCTAATAGCGCGTAGTAATCTGCTACCTTTTTCATGGGTTAAGTAAAATCACGCTAAGCTAAGATAATAAACGAACAGAAACTCAAGTTGGTAGAAAAATACCGTTTTCCACTAGTTAAGGTATCGATCAGTCGCCAATAATAAGAATGACGTAAAAAAAATATAGCAACTTTTGTCTTCCAAAAACAACAGCAACAGCAACAACAACAACTTACAAGAACATTAAAAAGATAACAGCAATTCCAACTCACCATTTGCAATTGGAAAATCAAATAAATTATCAATTAGCCTTGGCAATGAGCATGGCAACATAGCTTGCGGGCAAGCCCAAAATTCACCACACCCGACCCCACCCCCGAGAGCAAGCTTCCTGAGAGCAAAGGTTCAGGGCCCTGTCCTACTTGTCCCCGGAAACGAGTTTGAAAGGCTACAACGCAAGACTCGACTATCACAAACGATTTAAATAGTAGTGCATGAATGGGCAGCTACTTGGTAAACTAGCGGGGAACAAAAGCCACTAACTTGGACTACACAGGACTGCAAAAGCGTCTTGTTAACAAACAGTGACAAAGTTTGGCAAAAGCCATGAGCCTATCATGACAATCAGAACTCATTGTTTCAAAAGTAAGTTAACAGATCAAGACCTCTAACTCCCAGACGTTGGTTCTGTGGTACAGTGTAATATACTGAAATCCTGCGGGGTTACCCATCAGCGTCAGCTTGGATAAGGCTGCTTGAATCTGTATCAGGAAACTTACTCCCTAGACTGACTGTAGAGGGGGTGTCGACATATCGGGCAGGTACGACTGAAAGAGACAATAAATAAAAATTATTTACAAACCTTTCAAGAACTAGAGTATTACTAAAACGAACGATTGAACTCTTCTCTTCCTTCCCATCTACATGTCAACTTTCTCGGAGGCAGCAACTGTAGTAACTGCCGGCACTAGATGACTGTCTTATAGGGGAGTACCAGACTTAAGTTGTCAATTTTCTAATATGATTCAATGGTTCGAAAGAAATGGGTTGTTTAATATAACCGCACTGTAACGGTCCGTATAGGTCATGTTACGATCCGCACGGACGTACGAACCGTAACACACCGTGCCCTGATGTTATAATGAGATGCACGTACGATCCTTCAACTGCATGCTCTTAACGGTCTGTAACACCAACGGTGCAGAAAGACAGAGCGAAGGCTTCTTTTAAGGGCCTCCTCACATCAGCCCAGTTACCGAGATTAATTTCCTTAGGTTCATATGAGAAATTTCAGCCCGGTTTCCGAGATGGGAAAAGGCCAAAGATCCTAGGGACGAAATCGTGGCCAAACACAAAAAATTTAACTTTCAGGCCTATCATAGCTTCGGTAACTCTTAAAGCTGTATCACTGCAGTTAAATGGGATGCTTACGATGTGAAAAATACAGCAAGCAATGCAAAACGATGCCATCCGGACCGCCAGAATTCATCCCGCCGTTCATCCCGGTAACCGGGACGAAGTGTTCATATGGCAAAATTCCCAGCACGCTTACTGAGATCTCGGGAACCGAGCCAGCCCGCCCTCTCATATGAGCACATCGAAAATGTTGCAAAGGATTTCGAGGGAAGGCGAGATCTGGGAAACCGGGCAAGCCCGGTCAACCGGGATCATATGAAGTATAGCCTGCGAGCAAGCTCTCCATTTGGGTGAGCAAAACCAGTCACGAGAGGGCGATACGCGCGAGAAATGAAGGGAATGCCCTTGATCTTGACGAAAAACAGACGTGAAAATTCAGTTTCCCTTCCAGGTCATAGCGTCTGTCTTTAATCTATCTGTACATCATCCTGCACTCTCGAAAGTTAAAGCTTGTCGTCTTGGCCTAAGTTGCTTTCAGCTTCTTTGACATCTTCTTGAGAACTTAATTGGAAACTATCATCAAAGCGTGAACAGCATTTACCCACCGCGATGTTAGAAATTGAGAAGCATTCCAATTCGCCGTTTTACCACTCCGCTGTATACGGTAATTGGTACGTATAAAAAAATTATTTTATATGTCACTTCTTTACCCTGGTGGAACAAGTCATGCAGGACAGGTTTCCCTGAATCCAAATTCCACACTTGATTTTCAAACATTCGAGGGTAAAACTCGAGGACAAGTTCACGAACAACGGTGAGCGATGGTTCTTCGTCCGACTCAGTTAATTCATTTCACTCGCGACAACAGGTTGAGGTTGGAAGGGAATAGTTGCCTAGCTTTTTCCCCTATTTTTGATACAATTTTGAATCGACTCCAAGAAACGCAAGCAGGTTTTAAGTTGCTCTTCCTAGAGGCACCGTGATTTTAGGTATCGTGCTTGATAAATGTGGGAAGGTGCAAGTCAGTTTGCAATTGTGCTCCGCAATTGTCGCGTCTCCTCTTGCTTGCCTCTCCCGCGTCTACTTTTCACGATATCCCCCAAATGGAGAGCTTGCTCACAGGCCTATATGAAGGAGCCCTAAATCCTTTGTAAAATTTTCGATGAGATCATGTGAGAGGGCGGGCTGGCTCGGCTCCCGAGATCTCGGTTTTTCCAACCGTGATCTAAGGAAATTTTCCATACAAAACCCTTGGGAATTTTGAAAATTACTGTCGTAAATATTTCCTAAAACATTATGGGGCTCAATGAAATCTCCTTTTCTTCATAACAGGAAATTTGAGCCCTTAAATGCGTAAGGGAAAGATTTAACGACAGTTTAAAAATGTCGACATTGACAAGGATTTGTATGGAAAACCACTCAAGGGTGACTGGGTGGCGAGAGTTCGTTTTCTCATACATATCCTTCTAATTTTAAGTGGCCGTTGCAATCGCTCCTATTGAGATTAACGGCTGAAAATTCACAGGTTACTTAATGTTAATATGCTATGTCAGTTCCTGCTACCAAAATTTTCTAAAAGCGAACGGTTTTCATGATTGACTAACTATTGCAAAAAAAAAAACCTATTGTAAGCATTATCTTACTTTTATCTTACTATCTTCTTTTTATAAGAATAAGCCTTTGGTCATGGGCAAAGTAAGGTGATAACTTACACGCCGTTTTGTATCATAGCAATTGCGCATTCTCTATGAACCTTGTGTGAACATGGTAATATCTGGCAACCACTGAATGCATCCTGCAATTAATGGAAAAGACAATTGTATCAGCATTGCAATTTACTGCAACCGCAGCCTTACAGAACATATACCGAAGTACTCTAGCGTTAGAGATATGAACCAGCCTCCTACCCCTCAAAAGTAACTCACTCAAAAGAAAAAAAGTCACTGAAACCGCATCTACGACCATCCTGTTTCGACGTCTACACTCTTTCGGCTTAAACTTGTACTTAAAAAAAAACACTTGTTAAATGAGGAGCTTATGATTGCAATTTGAAACAAGCGCAGCAGATTAAAACTCACCTCCAAGCAAATACAGCATTCATCATGACCTGAATCTGGTCGACACTTGTGACTTCCCTCGAGTACTTTGTTTAAACACACGTTACAAACCTCGCAGTGGAATGACTTGTCCTGGTGAAGTCTGGAAGACAAAAAGTTAAGTGTTGATACAATAGGACAATTGCACGATGACGATATTTGACTACAAATACCAGAATTTATTTCGGCTTTGCTTTGTTATTTAAATTTGTCAATCCCGCTGAGGATTAAAGAACAACAGCCTTAATTTGCACAAGGAAACAACAAACTCAAGGATTCTGGTAGTTGTAGTAACATGACGTCATCGTGCAATTGTCCTATTGCAAAACACTAAGTTTATTATTGATATTAACGTGCCAACAAGAAGCGCATTGGTTCTTGAAACAAAAGGTGGATTTTGTTTTTTTACTGTATATAGTTTTTTACACCCCAACCTCGATGCCAGGATCCTTGGCATTGAACAAGATGCAGACTGAATAAATTGAATGATTTTGCTCTATTTCGCTATTTCCTAGTATTTTCGAGCAATTTTTATGCAGGGCGTCTATAGGACAGGGGCGTAAAGAGGGCGTCTAATACGACGTTTATCCCAGTACACATTAGACCATTTACGGTGATCGTTATTTTTCTAGAAGGATGTAGACCTACCGGCATATTCCACATTTTTCACAATGGTACGGATTCTTGTCCATACTGGTAAAATGTTTACAGATGGCACAGAAATAAACAGACATTTTCCCTCCACACTTGCGACACTTGGCACTGTCTTCACCAATCTGTAACAACAATCACAAAGTAGTTTAATCGAGGATTTAGTCCCAAGTGCAAACTGGCAACCAAACCATTTATGATACCTGGTCTCCTAGAGGCTTTTGAAGTGGCAAATAGGATGTTTATAAACATGGGAGTAAGACCTTCAAAAGCAGACCACTCTTCCTCCTCACCCCTCCACCAAACACACAAACATAAAGTTGAATACGATCTTAATCTCATTCACAAGGCAAACTCGGAACGAACGAGCAGGGGACTCGAGCGCACAACCTTGGACTACAAAACTGAGGCGCTGAGCACTCGGCCTTGCCGCCTCTCGGGTTTCCTTCAAGTTCTTTCCGGCCTGGCTAATGCATTTTAAAATTGAAACCCGGCAAAGACCAATCAAGAATAACTGATTTCGCCCTCTTCCTTAAAAATTCCTGTAACAACGGAAGTTGACTGTATAACTATTGTATCAGTTACGGCACCTTATCTTGTGATCAGGCTCTATATTCATTTCACTACTGAGGAAAATAACTTTCCGGCGGAAAGGCGGATCAACAAGACATCCTGGCTGTTTATCATTTATATGGGCAAACCGGTCGGTTCACGGTTAGTGCAAATGGTAAGCAAAATTCAGGAATGGTAAATTATTTCTCGGAATAGACCTTCAAACTGATTTCAAAGATGACTTTGAAGAAAAAAAAAAACACAAATTTTCGTTTGGAACATCCGGTCCAAAAAATCAGGAATATTTTTTTCGGATGTTCCGTTGCTCCCGGGATATTTCCGCTGAAACGCCCCAAAAGTCCAACCGCATTTTGTGGAACATTTTTGTAAATGGTCAATACCCCTTTTACAAATCTTCATGAAACGTCCGCCACTCTTAGTTTTGATTTATTTACATTTGCCGAACAGGTAATCAACTTTACTTCCACCGCACGCATTTTTCAGTTAGGAAAATGTAGAAATTCACGAATTTAAAAGTATCATCCTAAGCAAAACAAAAATACAATGTCTTGCGAGAAAGAGGGTGGTTTTTATTACAACTTGTTCCAAACGTTTTCATTGTTCGAGTACTTAATTTATTAGTAACTTTAAATTTGCGATTTTAGGTAGAAATTACGACTGTCTCGAGCAAAATATCTATTATAAAGCCAGCTTAATATTATCTGTATCATCAGAGAGATCAAACGACACACGTAAAACCCTAAAAATGAAGCAATATTATAACGCAAAAAAATTCTCCATCTCCTCCTCATATTTTTTCCGTTAAAACTGAAAATTCCACTGCGGAAAATCTTGCTTTTGTTTGTTTGTTTGTTTTTTTTCCTAGAGATCCAACGTTTATAACCAGCAGGATTTTCGTCCACGGTTTTTGCAGTTAATTTAATTGATTTTGTTTAGTTTTTCTAAGGGAAGCCATTTTCGTGTCACGTCATGTTGCCAGTGATTAGTGATCATACACCTGAATCGCGGGTCATATAATGGGAACACTGGTCGGCTCTGGGACCAGGCTCTTTATTGGGGGAAAAGGACAAAGAGCGGGGTCCACCACGAAGAAAGGAGCGAACTGAGTGGGAGATTGAGGGAAGAAGTGGGCGTCGGCCTTTAGTTCGGCTTCCATTTTTTGCACCCGGTATTCGCCATTTTTACCCACCAATGAGCCTGGTCTCAGCCGATACTTAAATGAACAGCGGTGTTGTGAGAGATGTCTGAACGATCTAGTGGGTAATGTGACTCGGCCCTTCACGTATCGGCGTTTTGCTATCTGTTAAGACGAGTTCGGTCCCTCCGAAAAACCATTTTTCCAATGTTTGTTTGTTGTTTTTGTTTTTTTTGGGTTGCTGTTTTTATTTCATTTACTTGTTTGTTGCCTGCGCCACAAAAAGCCATGGTTAGAAAAAAAAATCGAGAAACATCTTGATTTCGTGAAAGGGTTGACAAATTGATTTCTTTCAACTTTTGTTCATAGATAGCTGTTTGGTAGATAAAAAACGTAATGTAAATTGTTCCCGCCAAAAGCGTGTTATTTTCTAGAATTAAAATACCTGGAAATTGGCCTGAGCTGTTGAATGAAATCTCTGCAAGATGGCTCTGAAGTTTAGGAAATTTCAGGGTGTCAAAACGTCCAATTTCGAAAAGCATCAACGAAGATATCTGAACCCTAAATGTCCGTTATAGTTTATACTTCTTGTAGGTTTTCCCATTGCAAAGTTGCTTTTCTAATCAGAGTGAGATAAAACAAAAGCCCGACTGGAATAATTTTAGAGACTCTGAAATGCTGAACCCTTTAAATGGCAAATTTCTGGGAAGGAAAATGACACTAAAATAACTACGAACACAGAAATTTATTTAACGGCATTGATCTTGAAAGTACCATGTCTAAATGGACCAACGCTGTTTGGGATATATTTTTCTTGAAGCTAACTCGCATTCGGTACCAAAAAAAATGTCTCAAGTTTTCAAACACACATTAACTCTATGCTAAACGACAGATACGGGGCCACTTATTTCCACATCATTAATTACGTATACTCCAAACAGCAACATACATCAAAGCCAGTGTAACATATCGAACCAATATGACACAAGCTTTATTTTGAAAACAAGAAAGCAGAACAAATAGAGAGAAAACTCCGACAGAACGACTAAAACCTAAGTCGATACAAAACGGCATTATTTCTAAACGTTACTTTGTAAAATGACAATTTTTGCGTCGAGTTACCTAACCAGCTTTTAAAACCATCTCCTTTCATCGACAACATCCCATACTTTAAAGTACAGCTATTTGAATGTTCGGCCTCGTAGTTCGTTGCAATACTCGTCGAAAAACAAGACCATTCCAGAGAAAAATCTACAAAACTATAACAGAAGCGGAGAGATCTTCGTCTTCCGTCGCCATTTTGTCAAGTTCGTTTACCTCAGAGGTCCATAAAATATCGAACATTTGAGCCAGATTACAGAATACCCGTCCACTAATAATTAATCTCAGAAAGCCGCCACCGCAGTCTCGAAGTGGTCTATCATTTACATATTTTTATACTCATCCCGCTTCCTCATTTAAGCAATGAAGCAAAACAAGGGCTAGGAAAAGTGAAAAAAATGTGTTTTTTCCGGTCAAAATGTCAGTCACGTTGTTACGGTAGTAATGCAATGCAATTCTTGATTTTGATGGGAGCAGTGCTCTGATGAAAAAACATCGATCGCCGCTCGCGTTAGAGTTCTGGTACTCCCTTTTCTTTCGAGAAAAAGGACTTTGATAATGGTAATTCACAATAACAGTGACGAAAAAATAATATACTTCGCTCTGCAACATTTCGAAACGAGGAAATTTAGACGGCTTTTCACATCAGTTGTTACGCGCTTTTGATCATATTTAGATGGAAAAGGCGCGTTATAAATTTTTAATCATTATTACTTCTACGCTTTCGCTGAGCCAAAGGTTGTAAAGTATGATTTAGATTAATGTGAAGTCTAAATTAAACAAGAATTGGGTAAATTTGAACTCGTATCACAAGACAAACAATGCAGCGGGTAAGATCTATTAAAATAAAGTTTTTGTTTTCTTGAAAACCTGTTCTTTGTTTTGAAATATGTCCGTCCGAGGTGTCTCGAAAAAGCCCGAAATTATTTTCTGGTGAAAGAAAAAGAGTTTTTCTGTTCATGGAAAGCGTCCAAATCTATCCGTTGGGCTTTTTTTGGCGAACGCCAGAGGAATTAATCTCAGGCCATTTTGAGACCTCCATCACGGAAACCGATCATATTACATGTATCATTATACTTGAAATTTTTCCTGAAAATAAAAGGCTTTTGACGAGAACAATTTCATCAGCTTCCTTATCTGCCAATACTACCTGTAGACAAGAAATGAAGAGAAAAAACAAACAAACAAAAACAAAAAACCGATTTTTCATCTCCTGCTTGGTAATTTCAATGTTCGGTATTTCCTAACCTTGTATAATATCTGACCCCAATGATTTTGTGGCCTCTGTCTCCTGCATCCCTGACGCAGAAAAATCCCCAAAGATGCAAAATAATTCATAGTACTTGTACAACGCAAAGATCGATCGATCGATTTGAAGATTTTTTGATAGAATATCCCGTTCGTGTATTTCTGTGGCTGCTCTTTAAAGATGCATAATTAGTTTAGTCTTTTTGTGCTTTAAATATATAGAAGGACTATATTTTAATTTCAGTCTCTTGATTAACAGTCTGGTTATTTAAAGGCCCAAGCATTTTCAACTTAGGATTTTTGAACTGGGACTCGTTGGTTCTGGACTGGGACTCATATTTTTTCACAAGATGAGTCCCAGGACTCACCATAACTATTTGTAACAAAATCACTGTGACCCTAACCTTTGAGTCGAACTATCTTTACAAGTTTTCTCAATGAAGAGAAACAATTAAAAGGAAGACAAAAAAACACGTTTTGGAGAATGTCATTCAATTGAATCTTATATCACAGACCACAATTCTGACCATTCTGATTCAAAATGGAACTTTGGTCCCCAGAAAGACATTTCCTTAACAGCGGCTCACTGGTAATCGAGCCTTCATTATTTAATAATTTATTTAAGTGTAAAATGAAAATAAAAATTACCTCTTGTTCATGCTGACAGTAAGAGCACTTCAGATGAGTGGCATAACAAGCCTCAGCCTCTTCATTGTCACAAGCTTTTGAGATGTTGTGACAAAGTTGGCATGGATAGAATTGTGTGCAACAAGGGAATCGCACTCTGCAATGCCGCTGAAAATGTTCACATAACCACTGTGATCGTGCAGTGATGGCTTCTTGTTGTTGTGGCCAGTTTTCAGCTTCCCGCAACTCTCTCTCCTCTCTCGCGCGCCTTTCTCGAGCTCTTTGTTCTCTTATTAACTGTTCTTTCCTTTCTATCTCCCTTCCAAACTGTTCTAGTTCCTCAAAAGCACTTTGAGGAGGATAGTTGTTTGCAGTAGTTGAAGTATTTCTTGATATATAGTTACTATGCAATGAGAACAAGTCCCCGAAAAATTCCGCATTAGAAGGGCCACCCAAATGTCTATTAGATCCACTCACAAGTGAATTTCCAGTTCCAGTAAACGGCTCTGCCCTGGATGCAATCTGGCATTGTTGAGAAAGAAATAGGTGATGGTTAACTTGATTATTTTGTGATTAAATATTAATTAGAAATTGAAATTTGTAGCGCAAAGAAGTTAGATTTTGTGACATTAGATTTCACAATTAAGTCCGAGTGTATTTACGAAATGCATGCATTTTCTTAGGCTAAATATAAAGGTGAAACAACGTGCGATTTTGTAATAGTCACTTAATTTAGATACATTACAATGGGAACTTTTACTGTACATGTGATTAATGTAAAAATACTGCCTTACGCAAGGATGGTAGAAAAAACCACTGTATACTTTGAATGTGTTAGTTGTTAGTTGATAGTTGATCGTTGTGTTACGACCGTTGAATATGTGAGAATTGTACATCGCATTAGATTGTTGGATTCCATTAAATCGTGTTATTACATCGAAAGATACAGTCCTCTTGATTTGTTTGAACCAGCGAGCGGAGTTATAAGAATTCCGCAACATCAATCCCTAAAGTACGCCTGGGTTCTGCTAGATTGAGATAATGTCTCCGTCAATAAAGGAAGTCCCCTGCGATGGAATCAGGGGCACCCAACGACAATTTTCGGAAAATATCTGTTCGGAAGACGATTTGAGATCTAGAATTTTCGGCGCATTTGTTGTAAAATTTCTTGCTTGCCTGCCTCTCCTAGGATATTTGAACATCTAAAAACTGGTATAATTGCCCATTTTTAACGAATTTTTTCCCTTAAAAGGTCACCTAGAATCTTCGGGAGCCTTTTTTCTGGCTGAAATTTTCGAAAAGATAAGTTTTGATCCCTATAATTTTCGGATCACTAGACTTTCAGCTAGGAAATCCGAACACATGAAAAATTTTTAGGGGATAAAAATATGCCTATATCTACCGTATAAATACTAAAATACGTTTAACAATGCTATGCTTGAGTGGTTTTGAACTATATTCTCGTTGGGTGCTCCTGATGGAATGTCATTGAAGAGAGAAGCACCACCAGTTTGATAGACAATGTCAGACAATGTCAGGGATTTGTCTTGTGTGTGTCTCGCTAAGAAATCACTAGCTAAGCCATCGGTTATATATAGAACAGGCTCTGTTGGTACTTGTTCAATCACTGTAGGTTGAGGGATTGTATTTGACTGGAAAAGAGGATTAGGAGCCTTTAACGCAGCCAAATAAGCCTTTTTTTTATATATTTAGTACATTTCAAAGAAAGTAGATAGTTAATGAAAAATAAGTGACAACAGAGGCGTTTATGACAAAAAAATCAATTGGTATGTCTTACTTGATTCGAGTGGTCAATCAAGAAGGTTTGTCAAATTCATTTTCCATGCATGGTTTTTACGGGCGCTTTGAGTGAAGAGCAGCGGGCATATATTGCGCTTTTCGCGGACGAAAACGACGTTTCCGTCAAGCAGATTAGCCAGAAAATGGGAATTTCACCCACTACGATTCGACCAACAAATAACACATGAAACTTTTGCTGAATTTTCAGAGCGCGTGACCCGACAACTTTGAACAATTTTCCCATCGCCGAAATTTTCAATGGGCAAGCCCTTGGAATGAATAAAAGCATCAAATGGAGAAAGGATTAAATATTAACAAAAGATGTATTTTTACTTTTCACATTTGAACGTTCACTTTTGAAATTGTAGTGATATACAGTCCAAAATGACAAAATCTACAAAAAGTCACGCACGATAACGTGACAAGATGTACTATCGCGTGACCTGTACGAGTGCACGTTTTGTCCTAGGGTTACATATGACTGGAAAAATTACGAGCTAAATTGATTATTTCAGTGCAAACCAAGAGATACTGAATAACAGTTGCCATAGTTGACTTTTAACCTTCATCTCTCTACAATATCTGCAAGACGGAACGATTAACAGGACATTTTTGATGGGCTGCGAAGATTAGAAACGGTTAACAACGATTAACAAGGAAGTTAGATAAGAATCAGAAAGTCGTTCTCTATTAAAAAGGAAATGGTGTTAACTGTTTCAGTGCTTTGTTAATCGTAATATTATTCTATCCATGGAATTATCATAAAAAGTTAACCGACTTTTAACAAACAAAGTTTCTGTAACACCCATAGTTTAACCAATTATAAGCTGTGAGAAGCAATTTCCACGTGACGGGAAACGGTTCCATATCGCATTGACTATTTTGTCCCTAAATAAACACTACGAACTCCTTTTCTTCGAAGAGAACTGTCATACAAGTCTTGTTCTGACTCTTCTGAAAAAGATAAATTACTTTTCACATTTTCCGAGCCTTCCATTCCGAAACTACACGAAAATATATAACAATTAGCACGCGTCAGTTCTACAGCTATTGCGAAATCTGACTTTTTAAAAGAGGGTGCTACAAAAAACGTATATGAGGTCGTGCTTTTCTATGAGACGATAGCGTGGCGTGAAACTTTGTGCTCAAAAACAGCTTCTGTAAACTGTTTTTTATTGGTACGTTTTTGTTTTGTCCTTGCAAATGTTCTTGCGAGAAAACGCGAATCACCTTGTACACAATCTTGGACTAAACTGTTGCGAAAATTGTATACACTGTACTTGGGGAGCATTTTTCTAAACATCGTAGCTGTACCGGTTCTTCCCTCTCCCCCTTCCCCTGAAAGCAATGTTGTTGTGTATTTAAAAGAAAGCCTGATCCCTGGGCGTTTGTAGGAAGAAACATTGAATTGGGGGAAGGGGTTTTCGGCTTTCCGCAAAGGCGTCGTTTCGCAAATAGTTTTGTTGCATAGGAAAGTGGACATGATGGGGAAAACTTTGTCAAGTAGTTTTGTCTGGGATTGTAGCATTTACTAACCCAGTCGTCATTTCACCTAGCCCCACAAACTTTTTGATGAGAAGGATTGATTTCACAGTTCTTCTATTATTCAAATTCCTCAAAAAACATTACTTGCCCGTAAGGCAAGTTAAAAACAGAATTCACTAGCCCAATAGCAAAATCCACTAGGCCCGGGCTATTGAACACTACTTTCTTTGCACGCTGATCTTGAGATTAACTGTCCTTTCATATGACCTCTTAGTTTCAAGACTATTGATATAATTATTGTAAGGTAGTAACATAAGGGCTACAATTCGCTTATATTTTGTCAGAAATTTTGTCTTTACATCTTACAAGTGAGAGCCTCTTATTATTCAGGGATGTTGTCTCAAAGTTTCATTTTCACGTGAACCGCAGTAACTAACAACACGTTTGACATATGTAAAAATGCTAGCTATCAATTGCGCACGAAAATACGAAACTTGGAGACAATGCGCCTGAATAATGAGAGGCTCTCACTTGTATAGCCCTTATTTTACTGCCTCACAATATATCAAAAATCTTGAAACTAAGAGGTCATATAAAGGGACGGTTAATCTCAAGATTCTTAAATGTTTTAAAAATTTATCGAGCAGTTTAAAATTTTTTCGCTAATTTGTTAAAGTAGACCAAAATCTTTAAATTACCGCTAACAAGAGTGCCCCGATACATACTATCAAATCCTTCTTTCTAAAAATTATAAGTACAGGGGGTGCATTATGCATGGGAAAATAATGGTAGTTGATTCAAGGTCATGGCAAAAGCACAAAATTCTCAGTATTACTTGAGGATAAATGTTCAAACACTTACATGTAAAGACTGATCCTCTTCCTGGTTAGGGTTTTCCAGTTGTTCCTTGATTGCATAAAAAGAAAAAAAAAGACGTTTTCAGTCCTTTATGATAAGTTGTTGCAACCTACTGTAATGACAGAGTTTGCAGTCCAAGACACAGATTTCAGAATGTTTTGCTTGCTTCTCTTATTCTATTAATTTTTTCACTATGCTGAAAATCAAAATGGAAGAAAAATGGAAATCGCTTATAGTATTAGAACTGTAAATGCCCATGCCAGTGGATTAAGACTCTGTAAGGGGATGGAGTCTCAAAATATAGCTAAATTCAGTTGTTGGGAACTCAGGCCCTTAAACTGGGCAAAACAAAAAAAATCCTAAAACATTACAGGGGGTTTAAAAAACACTGCAAAATACAGATTAGAAAAGATGCCACCTTGAGAAATCTTTAATAATTTTTGTTTTTTACCATTTTCCGGTGTAGGGAGTAACCAAAGTAAATTACAGCAAAGGAATTAGCATTATTGACCAAGCTTAAGGTCAAGGCAAGTTAAAAACAGAATTCACTAGCCCAATAGCAAAATCCACTAGGCCCGGGCTATTGAACACTACTTTCTTTGCACGCTGATCTTGAGATTAACCGTCCTTTTATATGACCTCTTAGTTTCAAGACTACTGATATAATTATTGCAAGGGAGTAACATAAGGGCTACAATTCGCTAATATTTTGTCAGAAATTTTGTCTTTACATCTTACAAGTGAGAGCCTCTTATTATTCAGGGATGTTGTCTCAAAGTTTCATTTTCACGTGGACCGCAGTAACTAACAACGCATTTGACATATGTAAAAATGCTAGCTATCAATTGCGCACGAAAATACGAAACTTGGAGACAATTAATGCGCCTGAATAATGAGAGGCTCTCACTTGTATAGCCCTTATCTTACTGTCTCACAAATTATATATCAAAAATCTTGAAACTAAGAGGTCATATAAAGGGACGGTTAATCGCAAGATTCTTAAATGTTTTAAAAATTTATCGAGCAGTTTAAAATTTTTTCGCTAATTTGTTAAAGTAGACCAAAATCTTTAAATTACCGCTAACAAGAGCGCCCCGATACATACTATCAAATCCTTCTTTCTAAAAATTATATGTACAGGGGGTGCATTATGCATGGGAAAATAATGGTAGTTGATTCAAGGTCATGGCAAAAGCACAAAATTCTCAGTATTTCTTGAGGATAAATGTTCAAACACTTACATGTACAGACTGATCCTCTTCCTGGTTAGGGTTTTCCAGTTGTTCCTTGATTGCATAAAAAGAAAAAAAAAGACGTTTTCAGTCCTTTATGATAAGTTGTTGCAACCTACTGTAATGACAGAGTTTGCAGTCCAAGACACAGATTTCAGAATGTTTTGCTTGCTTCTCTTATTCTATTAATTTTTTCCCTATGCTGAAAATCAAAATGGAAGAAAAATGGAAATCGCTTATAGTATTAGAACTGTAAATGCCCATGCCAGTGGATTAAGACTCTGTTAAGGGGATGGAGTCTCAAAATATAGCTTAATTCAGTTGTTGGGAACTCAGGCAGGCCAGTGGATTAAGACTCTGTTAAGGGGATGGAGACTCAAAATATAGCTAAATTCAGTTGTTGGGAACTCAGGCAGGCCAGTGGATTAAGTCTGTTAAGGGGATGGAGTCTCAAAATATAGCTAAATTCAGTTGTTGGGAACTCAGGCAGGCCAGTGGATTAAGACTCTGTTAAGGGGATGGAGTCTCAAAATATAGCTAAATTCAGTTGTTGGGAACTCAGGCAGGCCAGTGGATTAAGACTCTGTTAAGGGGATGGAGTCTCAAAATATAGCTAAATTCAGTTGTTGGGAACTCAGGCCCTTAAACTGGGCAAAACAAAAAAAATCCTAAAACATTACAGGGGGTTTAAAAAACACTACAAAATACAGATTAGAAAAAATGCCATCTTGAGAAATCTTTAATAATTTTTGTTTTTTACCATTTTCCGGTGTAGGGAGTAACCAAAGTAAATTACAGCAAAGGAATTAGCATTATTGACCAAGCTTAAGGTCAAGAATTAGCTGGTTACACTGGCCAAGGTCTTTCTAGCATTTTTATGAAGCAGAAC